CTGATACATATCTCAGACAAGGAAAACAAAACAAAAATAAACAAACGGGACTACATCGCGCTAACAAGTTTTTGCAGCACAAAGGAAACCATCGCCAAAATAAAAAGACAACCCACTGAATAGGAGAACATATTCTCCAATAATATATCAGATAAGGAGTTAATATCCACAATATATAAAGAACTTATAAAACTCAACACCCAAAAAACAAATTATTCAATGAAAAAAATGAGCAAAAGACCTTAATAGACACTTCTCCAAAGAGGACATACAGATGGGCAATAGACATACGAAAAGATGCTCAAAGTCACTAATCATTAGAGAAATGCAAATTAAAACTGCAGTGAGGTATCACCTCAAACTGGTCAGAATGGGTATCATCAATAAATCAACAAACAAGTGATGGCATGGATGTGGAGAATGGGGAACTCTTTTGCATTGCTGGTGGGAATGCAGATTGGTACAGCCACTGTGGAAAGAAGTATGGAGATACCTCAAAAAATTAAAAATGGAACTACCTTATGACCCACCAATTCAACTTCTGGGAATTTATCCAAAGAAACCCTAAATACTAATTCGAAAGAACATAAGAACCCCTATGTTCATTGCATTGTTATTTGTAATTGCCAAGATTCAGGAGCCCAAGTAGATACAACTATGGTACATTTACATAACGGAATACTACACAGCTATAAAAGAGAAGAAAATTTTAGCCTTTGCAACAGTATTGATGGACTAGAGAACGTTATACTAAGTGAAATGAGCCAGTCAAAGAAAGACAAATACCATATGATTTCACTCATATGTAGAATCTAATGAACAAACAAGCAAAACAGCGACAGACTCAGAGAGCAGGCTGTAGGAGGAGGGCCATTTCTCAGGTGGGGGGACAAAGCAAAAAAGAAAACTCATGGATGTGGACAATAATGTAACGACTGCAGAGGGAGGTAGATGGTGGTGGAAGGGGGTATAAGAGGGATAAGTGGTAATAGAAAAAATACAACAAAATTAAATAAAATTTAAAATATTTAAATGAGTTTTGTTTTTAAGCTATATATACAATAGTCACTGAAACCCCACAAGTGTCCTTTAAGCAATGAGGCAGATCTATATGTACAGACACAGTGGCAAAAAAAAAAAGTGTAAAACGTAGGCTTACAAAATACTACATTTAATAAACTATGTATAAAAATTAGGTTTTTCAGTTCTTTTACCCATTTATCCCCCCAAAGTCTAACAGAGATGCACCATAACTTTAGGAATTAGTTGAATTAGGAAGTAGAATATTATTTTCTATACTTATGCCATGATTGGCCTTTTTTAAAAGATACGTATTTTTTACAATACTGAAAAACAAGCATATAGAACATGGCAAATACCTGCATTCTCATCTACTATAAACTAGTATCTGTTGCATTTGCACCATGACTGTCTCATACTATATTAGCTTTTATTCAAAATTACTTTTTGCATAAATCCACGCTGACACATGTATCTAATTTTCATTTTAAATTCCAAGTACTACTCTATCTGATGAACATATTATACTCCCCTCCTGACTACTCAGGCAAATCCCTGGGAAAATTCTACAAATCCTTGATAAAGCTAGAATGAAAATGTGTACAGAAAAGGTTAAACAGGGAGAGGGAGAGTGGCCAATTAAGTTCTTCCATATGTTTTAAAACTGATTATGGACAATTCTAACCTTTAAGTTGCCAGGGATCGTTGACATTGGACAGGCAAAAGTCTCTAATTTTATACACCCTTAGTACTCATTCTTTCCAAATAATATTTAGTTTTGTAAGGTTTACCTTTGGTAAGAAAGCAAATTTTAAGAGGGAGAAGACATTAAGTTGTAGAAGTAAGGCCTGGCATCTTTTAATTATATTAATAAAAAAACAAACAAAACAAAACAAACAACAAAAAACAAATCCCACTTAGAGAAAGAGATATTGGCCAAATCCTTTAGGGCAGGGTTTGTCAAACTTGTAAAAATCTGGAACACTGACAATATAGCCCATTGATCCCAGATTGAGAAACTATGATCTAGGTTTAATCTCCTAATCTTACATTAAAAACAAAACAAAACAATACAAGACGAAACATCCATGTTTTTACTTCCACCTTAAAAACAAAAACAGTCAGATCCCAGTTAGCTTGAGCTTCAAATCAAGATTTCAGGGAGTGAATGATCCAAGAGCTTCAAGAGACAGTAATGCTCCAATCACACTGACTATACAGTAAGAGATTCAGCTCGTTTTTGGTGTGTCTTGCTTTCAACCTTTTGAAACCTTAGTAACTAGAATTACATCTAAACCTCTGAGATTACTGTTACTTGGTAAAGACTAGGAAAATCTATTGACATTGAAATAGTACAGGTGACAACTGCCAAACTTCTAAGTGATGCCAGAAATACCCACCCCCTCCTTAAAAAAAATTAAAGCATTGGATGGGGGAAAATACTTTCGACTATCTTTTCCTATAAAAATATATTTGTAGACGCTGCCTCAAATACTTCGAAGAGGCCTAGGATAAACCTTGCCTTTTACAAGCATCCCATTTTTATAATTTTCTTGTACATTCTTCCCAAATCCAATTAAAAAGGTTATCTGCTTTTTTTTTAATTGGTAAAATTCATTTAAAGTTCACACATTTTAAAATATCTGTATAAAATAAAAAGTCATGAGCCCTCTTGTAAAGAGCTAATGGGCCACCATGCTAAGCACAATCTCCTGTCTTGATTGCAAAGGGCTGTACTGCATGTATCACCTCTGCCTTTACCATATAGGAAAAAGCAAAATGTGTCATTAATAGGCTAGAGAGTAATAAAGCTTTCTAGCAGAGCTACTTCTACTCTTAGGGTCCTGAATACAGCAATGGCAGAGAAAAAAAAGGTGAGGTGATTAAGACCAGAGAAGTAAGAACAGCTGATGAATCTTTGAAGTCTTGAAGCCCCACTTATCTATATGCGGATGCCCACGAGGGAGAGTGTTGCCCCCCTGCTTTTACTCTACCCTTTCCTTACTTTGGCACCTGCATTAATTGTAAGTAGCTCCCTTCATCGAAAATACATATTAAGATCATGTGAAGATACTGAACTTGAGTTGGAAGAGGTGAGACCAGTCTCAACATGGAGGTGAAATGGCTGCCCAGTAACCCCGAGCCCAACTCCGGCCGCCAGCAGGAGGAGGGCCATGATCCAAAGGAACAAAAGCACTTGAGAAAAATGTTTATTGGCAGTTTGAGCTTTGAAACCACTGATGATAGCTTTTTAAGAGAATATTTTGAGAAATGGGACAATGCTCACAGATTGTGTGGTGATGAGACCCACAAACAAAATGTTCTGGGGGCTTTGGTTTTGTGACTTACTCTTGTGTTGAAGAGGTGGATGCAGCAATGTGTGCTCAACCACATGACTGATGGGCCATGTAGTGGATCCAAAGAAAGTTGTTTCTAAAGAGGATTTTGTAAAGCCTGGTGCCCATTTAACAGTGAAGAAAATTTTTGTTGGTGGTATTAAAGAAGATATAGAAGAATATAATCTGAGAGACTACTTCGAAAAGTATGGCAAGACTGAAACCATAGAAGTTATGGAAGATAGGGAGAGTGGGGAGAAAAAAGAGAATTTGCTTTCATAACTTTTGATGACCATAATACAGTTGATAAAATTTGTTGTTCAGAAATACCACACTATAAATGGGCATAATTGTGAAGTGAAAAAGGCCCTTTCTCAACAAGAAATGCAGTCCTCTGGATTGTAAAGATGCTGTGGAGATGGATCTGGCAACCTTATGGGTCGTAGAGGAAACCTTGGAGGTGTTGGAGTAACTTTGGCCATGGTGGAAACTCTGGTGGAAGACAAGTCTACAGTGGAGGTAGCAGCAGAGGTAGTTACGAAGGAGGTGATGGTGGATATAATCGATTTGGAGGTGATGGTGGCAACTACGGCGGTGGTCCTGTAGTAGAGGAGGTGCTCCTGTAGTAGAGGAGGCTATGACGGTGGTGGAGGACCAGGATATGGAAACCGAGGTGGTAGATATGGTGGCAGTGGTGGAGGATGTGATGGTTACAATGAAGGGGAAACTTTGGTGGAAACTACAGTTATGGGGGGAACTACAATGATTTTGGAAATTACAGCAGACAACGGCAGTCAAATTATGGACTCATGAATGTGAGCAGTTTTGGCGGAAGAAGCTTAGGCAGCCCATATGGTGATGGTTATGGATCTGGTGGTAGCAGTGGTGGATATGGTAGCAGAAGGTTATAAAAACTCAGCAAAAAAGGGTTAAAGTTCTTAGCAGGAGAGTCATGAAAGATGCAGGTTACTTTGAGACGGTTGTCCCAAATGCATAGAAGAACCATAAAAATCTGCAACAGAAGGGATGATGATTCATAGTCAGAAAACTTATTGCATCTTAAACAAGGAAATCCTTCTTGTTCAGGATTGTCAGCCACAGTTTGTAAAAAAGTGTACCTACTGATTAATGCAATATAGTGTCAATGAGATGTACATTCCTGCGGTCTTTTATCTGTTGCAGCTTTTTCTTTTTCATTTCATTACATCAGGTATACTGCCCTGTAAATTATGGTAGTAGTACCAGAAATAAAAAATTAAGAAACTTTTTAAAAAATGATCACGTGAAAAAAAAGCCACTCCCTGTAAGAAAGGATTAGAATGTACAATTTGGGGAATTAATCTTTGATTTGCCCAATGTTGCTGCAAACATTCAAGAACATGCTAAGTCTGTTATATTTTATGTTTATTTACACTTGAACAGGCAGTCACTTGTCTGGTTTCCAGAACATGGAGGAGGGGATGTGAGGGCACAACTTATACACCCACTCTTCAGGAGAATGACAAATGTGAGTGTTTTAAAGGACCCCAAGAGTTCTCATCTTAGTTACAGAGTATTGCCCATGACGGGTGCCTTGTGTGGCTCGTCCCCAATGGAAGTGCTACTGTGCCCCAGCTCTAGGCATAAGTGATTCCTTTTTTTTTTTTAAATATGGAACGCTTCATTAATTTGCATGTCATCCTTGCACAGGAGCCATACTAATCTTTGTCTCGTTCCAATATTAGCATGTGTGCTGCCGAAGCGAGCACAATTCTTTGATCTACATTAAAGCATATATACCTTTAACCTATCAGCTTATGCTTTTCAATTAATTATAGATCAATATCACCTAATTTCCTGGGCAACTGTGAAAAAATTGTTATCAAGAAGTTATTTATGCATTTACCTTTAAAATGGCAATGAGTTAGTGGTTATAAGACTTGTTAAATTAGCACCATCATATTATTTTTTAAGAACCAAAAATTTGAACTGTAACATACTCCAATTCTTCCTGGAGACAAGTGAATACTGGGTCAACCTAGACAAGAATGCACGTTATTATACTTATGTAAGGCTAGATATGTTTGGTACAGTTTGTATATGATGCCAGGGCACAGAGGAAAAAAATATCGTCAAGTTCTACTTATCATGCATGTATGCATTATGAATATGCCTGTACTTTTTCATTAGCTGGAGCAGCCCAAGCATGCTTATCCTAATCAGAACGTTGCAGTTCAGGATTTGATAAATCTGAGATGAGAGTATGGCAAGAAACAGTGTTTACTGACATTCTGGGAGGTTAGTTCCACTCATCAAATAGCCTCGCCAGAAATTCTATTCTGCTGAACCCCAGATGGTTAGACTGCGTCAGACGTCAGGAAGATCACAACAGGAGGGCTACACCAAGGCCTGGATATCATTCAGATAATAATGAAAACATTTTCTACTTATTTCCTGATATTTTTTGTTGCATGTGCTTACTCATTATATTTACAACCCTGTAAGAGGTTATAAACTAGCAATGGTGATGGGATTCCTATTCTCTGTTCACAAAAAGATTGAGTAGCTCACAGAAAAAAAAAAAAATATGTTGGGTTAGCAGAGTTTGTGACTAAAGTTAAGATCCTGCCCCTCAGGCAAAAACCACATTATGTTTTACATAAGCTTTGAAGCAACTTGGTGTCCTATGAAACAAAAAGAATTAAATGGGACAAGTGTTGTTTGCCCAATAAGAAGAGTACACATTATAGAGAAACTGAACTCTGATTTCATGGGTTCTGGATATCCTATCATATAGTTTACCTTTTAAAATATAGTCATATATTTACTATTACATGTTAAAGTTTGCTTACCTTCTTATAATTTCTATCTATTGATAGTCTCTGATTCACAGTCATTGTAATCATGCCTTACTTTAAATATAATTATATAATTTTTAAACATATAATTTGAAACCCTTGTCCAACATCTCGGTCCCCTAAAAGAGAGTTTGTACTGTTTACTTTTTTTCCTGTGTACAGTAAAACTTTACATTTCTTTGCATGTTTTGTAACTTTTTGTTGAAAACTGGATGTTTAAGATAATATATTGTACCCACTCTGACTGCTTCCCCTTGCCCTTTTGGGAGGCTTGCTGTTTGGCTGGTTGGTTATTTGCTGAGTGGCCTAGCCAGACTGATTCTGTGAGGTCTATTGCCCCTGCAGATTGTAGCTTCTGACATCCTTGCTCAGACTTTCCACCCCAGTTTTTTTATTTACATCTGTTAGCCTAGATCGCTGGGGGTCACTCCTGGGGCCACATACAGCACTTAACAGATCAAAGGTTGTACTTAAGCCTCCATACCCAGTTAGATTTTCAGCCCTTACTGTTGAATGTGCCTATGTGTCTTGGAGACTTTTCACTTTTCCAGGAATTTACGATGTTGTCCTATACTTAGCCAGAGATGAGAAGCCTGGAGGCTCTCTTCTCTCTGGTCACTATTTGAGAGGGTGCAGCATCGGGCATGCACACAACCTTCCATACCTCCAGACATGAATGTGGAATGTGATTTTTATTTTTAAGCCTGGCTTTCTAGCAATACCTCCTGGGTCAGAATAAGTTATTTTTAGTCATGTTTGTTCATAGATTGTGCTTAAGCACCTTGAAGCCATTTCACTGATGAGTCTGTGTGTGGCTTGGGAAATGCTTTGAAGTCCATTCCACATTCTGCTCAAATTGCTCCTGAGTGGGTACTGTCTAGTGCATGCCCACAGCTTTCGAGATCCCAAGATATGGCTGTGATCCCAGGAAGGCTCTTTTTCACTGTCTTTTTCCTTCGTTCTGTTCAATTTCTGGCTGGTTTACATTTTTGCTTATCATTACCAGTATCATAGAGCTACCTTCCCCCTTAAGCTTGAACTGCTCTAGACTTTGTTCCAAATAAAGTCAGTGTGTTCACCACTCCTCCCACCACCACCCGCCCCTGCAACTGCCCAACGCAGAATCTCTACCACTACACAGGCACTGAGGGTCAGGACAACAGTTTGCTTCTCTCAGGAGTTGACACCCTGGGTTCACCTTGGCTTGCCCTTCCTGGTATAGAACCTCAGCCCTGTGAGCAAACTGGGTCCAGTATCTCTGGCTTGTTACGCCTAGAGTCCTTTTTATTGTATGAGTGGGAGCTGAGTCATGAAAGGAATCCCCAGTCCTCTCAGCCACCCATGTCCAGAAAAGTGTTTTTGCAATATAGGGCTGGAGGCAGAGTGACACTGCATTCCTAGCTCAGAGTTGAGGCAACAAAGAGCACTGTATTCTTGGTCACAAAAACCTTTAGTAGATGGCTGGGAGAGAGACTGAAAGGGAGCAGGCTGTGACTCAAATGCCACAGGTTCTTGCTGTTCTTACCAACATTTAGATTTTATTGACCAGGTGTTTTTCCACTTGCTTTGTGCCCTTAGGACAACTTCCAGAGATTAAAGATTTTTAAAAAATAATTTTTGGTAGATGGCTATTCACTGGGAAGAATGTCCACCAACCTTCTTACACAGTCATTCCAGAATTCCCACTCTGGACTACTTCTAGAAAATTAAGGCATGGATATATGACAGAATCTGCACCTTTCCTAGGTTAGTGGTATGTCTGCTCTGTTCTGATATGACCCAACAGTTTGTATTACAGAAAAAGAAAATGCAGAAATTTTTGTAAGAATTATATTAACAAGGAACTCTCATATACTAATTAAGCAACATGTTTACTGTCTTGCCTGTACCTAAGTATACATATTACTAAAAACTCAGAATGTGGGTACATTAAAAATGTATCACCCTCCTACTTTTCAAGAATTATTTTTAAAGGTTTCAAAGATAAAATAAACCATCACTTAAATGCTGGACATACGTGTCCAACTATGTATTATCATGGTTGCTTAGAAACCATGAGGCATTGCCTGAATAAGCAAAATTAGGGCAGCAGAAGGAAGAAATCCTTTGTTAAAAAGAGGTTTAAAAAAGTGCCTTGGCTATAGTTATAGATTTTGAAAATGGGAATGCAAAGTAAACAAACATAATAGAAGGTTTAGAATGTCACATGTAAAGATGTCTTCTCAAGCAAAGCACTTCAGATCTCTCTGCTCTTTTTTTCTTTTTTAAACTTTATTTATTTTTAAAGAGAGGAGAAGAGAAGGAGAAAGAAAAGGAAAGAAACATCAATGTGTGGTTGCCTCTCGCATACCCCCCCCCCATGGGGGACCTGGCCCACAACCCAGGCATGTGCCTTGACTGGGAATCGAACCAGAGACCCTTTGCTTCACAGTCTGGCACTCAATCCACTAAGCCACGGCTAGTTCTTTCTACTCTTGAATTACATACTTCATCTCAGTTGTAGTTCGCCAAGAAAAAAAGGGTAACTTTAATACATGTACAAAATTTACATAACCCCATATATCAAAGTGTCTAAAAAACCACCAAGAAAGAAAAGCTGACCTATATTTATGAACTCCAAAGTTCAATGTGAAATCAACTCTACATGAGGCTCAGGAGGTGTAAAAATTTAATTTCCACTCAATTCTACTTAATAGCAATGAATCAGATAAAAAGCAACCCATATTATCAACAACTCTGTACATTTAACAGAAGGTTTCAAACCTGGTTATGTTTAAAAACAAGAGAGGACCTACAAAGAATGTAGTTCCTCTAATCACATACAGGAAACATTTACTTAAAATGACTTTATGAAACATCCATCAATTTATATTTGGTTTTATCTAAGCAAATAGTGGTCTTTAATAATTAAATGAATTTAAATTCTAATTTTTAGTATTGACTCTGAATCATTACCCTCTAGGAAGATATATGTATGTCTAAATTTAAGTAATCAACCCCCTCTGAAATAAAGCATAATAAAAAATAAATTGTAAAAGTGGTTTAAAGTAAAAATTTCTTAGTAAGAAAAGAATATTCTATTCCTTTTTAAGAGGAATAAAATGATTGTTAAAGTTTACAATAGTTACAGTTTCCGGTAGCAGTTAGGAAAATTACTTTAGAAACTAGTAAGAAACATCACATAAAGTTCAAAAAATTCTTGGGCATAGTCCGTCTTAGAAGCTTTTACAGTTCACTTGTTTGTGAACTACAAATATTGAAAGACTTACACAATTTGCAAATGGTGCTGATTTTCCTGGCTGTGCAGAGATCAAATAAAAAAAAGACAGGACTCGCCATTCAAAAAGGGTGACGGCCCCTCCTGCACATTCTAAAGGTCAGCAGAAGAACCTTGATGCCTCTTTGTATTTAATAATAGTGTTGTCTCTGCACAACCTGACTTCCACTTAACTTTCCTTGATCATCTCTTAAAACATGATGAACAGTCTGAAATTTCTGAGAAAAAATGGACTATTTCTTATTCTCCTATATTCACACTAATTCTAAGGCTAGAGAAGTTGTATTTAGGGTCCAATCTCATTGTGTTAATACATGTAAGGCACATTGAATAGTTCCTAGCATATAGTAAATCCAATAAACAGGAACTGCTATCTTCATCCTTGTCTTGCAGACAACCTCCCCAACACAGAAGTCATGAGGGCCTCTTCACCTCATTTCTAATGACATTTATCACCGTTCTACTTCAGTTAACCATTCCCAAGGTAATAGTGACCCTCAGGACCCCAAACAACCCATTTCAGAAAATCTTTAACTCACTACCATGTTCTCCGACCACAATCTACTTGGCTCCCACAGTCTGTACTCCTTTCCTTTATTCTTACAATTCTTGCTTTTCTTTTTTTTGGGGGGGG